ATTTTGATCCTTGCTGTAGTTAGTGCAGTGTGCAGCCCTAAGTGAAGGCCAGTTACATGTGTTGCTACCCCCTACCGTAGATGGGACATTTTGATTGAGAAAATTCATTATTTTCGAGATATATCAAGATATGAAATCCTGTGATTGGATACCCTTGCCAGCAGTCCAATCACAGACAATTGACGAAGCTACAAGTGTTTTTCTGAGAGGACTGCATACTGTTTCCCCGTTGATTGGTTGCACATATAACGAAGATAATGTAGCACGCTATCGGGGCAGAAACCCTAACAAGGGTATTTGACCGGTGCTTTTAAATCTCGGACGATGTCCGATTTAGTAAAGGGTCATCCAGGCTTGACAACTTGATGAGATGGGTCATTTACCAAAAGTTTATTCAAACTCGACATACGACTTAGATACTAAAACTTATCGAACCTAAGACCTGACTCCTGTGGCATCTGGAAGTGGTGGCAAGAACCGGCTGGGTAACCGGTTTCTCGCCAAGTTTGGTAAGGCCGCACGGATGTACGGTATATATATATATATATATGAACAAGGTAACCGGCGCTCAGGATGGGCCGAATGCCCAAACGTATGGGACCCCTTGGGGATGCGTTTGGTCGTTCGGGCCGAACGCGGACCAAAAAAAAAAAAAGAAAACAAAGTCATCAAAAAAATCTGAATAAAAGATATGTTATGAAGAATGATAAACTAAACAAGATCTGCCTGAGCATTACATCCTAATTCCTTACCAAATTTGAAATAAAAATAAAATATAAAAAATAATTACTAATAATAAAAATAAATAAAAATAAAAAGAGAATTAAATTTAGTAAGTGCGAGAGCATGTTTTCGACACCGCCATCTTTGGCGATTTTTTTTTTTTTTTTTGGCACAACTAAACGCTCTGAAAATTTACAGATGTGTACTTCACATAATACAAAACCCACTAAAAAAGTTTCAAAAAATAATAAAATTGTTTAGATCTCGAACTAAAGTGAAAACGAAAAGTAAAAACTGAAAAAATGCTTGGGCGAGCACGTTTTGACACCGCCATCGTTGGCGATGTTTTATTATCATTTGGCTTAGCCAAATGACTTGAAACTTTACAGGCATGTACATCACATCATAGAGAACTCATAAAACAAAATTCAGAAAATAATCATTATTTTTAGGCCCCAAAATAATTTTTGCCGCCGAACGCCGTCGGGCTTGGACCCCGTACGGGACCCCGAACACCCGTACGTCCGGAGGTCGTACGGAGGTATGCCCGAGGACCTCCGTATGTATGGGCTGGTGACCCTGTATATATATATATACATATCTATATATATATATATATATATATATATATATAAATATATATACAAGGATTCATTGAAACTCTATGTGAGAAGGATAATGTGTTGTATCAGCAAAGCGGTTTAAGACGGTGCTGGATTGTGCAAAGCGCTGAGGAGGTGATGCTTGATCTCAAACGTAACTCCTCTTGTCTTCGTGACCATGCTCCTCGCACTGTTGATTTCACAACTATGTATATCAATCTTCCTCATGACCGTATTTGTCATAATGTTTCAAAAGCGGTCGAGGAAGCCTATACATATGCCTTACAACAGCACACACAGGGGCGCACATATCCTCCTACCCTTAACATGATTGTTAAAGGGCCCCGTCAAGGGGAGTGGATGGTTGATACCGGACCAAACACCTTGACCGTTTCCCAAATTCTTGAACATCTCCATTTCATTGTCACAAATACTTATCTTTATGCAGCGAACGGCACCTTGTGACATCAGTTAATTGGCATCCCGATGGGGAGTAATTCTGGTCCGGAGATAGCTAATTTGACGTTGTATTGGGATGAGGCTCGATTTGTTAATGACCTCCAGCGGCGTGATATTCTCGCAACTCAACGGTATGCGTTCACATACCGCTTGATCGATGGTGTTCTCTCATGAGGACATCTGCCACCACCGTCAGAGCACTATGGCCTCGAATGGAAGGAGACCACAGCGCCTGATGGCTCTTGCACATTCTTGGGTGCACGCCTCCAAGTCCGCCTTGACGGCTCCTTGCGTATGAGTGTCTTTGACAAAGCAGCTGAATGAAATTTCCCTGTTATTCGTTATCCTAGTGCTACATCTAACGTCCCTGCACACCAGCTGGTGGGAGTGTTTACAGGCCAGCTTACTAGGTTTGAGTATGTCTGCAACAACTGGTATGATTTCAAAACTGCAGCAACGATGCTCAAACGCCTCATGATTTTTTCGCGGACACTCTCCAACAGCGCTTGCGAAAGGATGGACTTTCTATATTCGTAAACGTCAACACAGGTACCTTGCGCATGTGACCCGCCTCTCCAGCTGGTTCCACAACATGCTTCGATGGTCTATTCATCACCCGCTTTCTCGGGTATCTACACACTGTCCTCGGACTACGTCTGTCACAACCCCTTCTTCATTATGGGTGCATGTCACACCTATCACAGCCTCTTCTTCATTACCTGCGTCTGTCGCACCTGCGTCCTCATCAGTCTTAGTAACCCCTTCCATGCCGTTTGTGAACCTGGCTGCCCCTTTTCGGTTCGCAGCCTCTTCCTCATCGGCCTTGGTTGCTTCTACAATTGATTCCGTGGGAGCAACTCGACCCGCAGCTGCTGTGTCGCCCTTGGTCTCGGTGTGTTCCTCCATGGCATCCGTGGCTTCCTGAGCCGTTGTGTCACCCTTGGTCTCGGTGCGTTCCTTCCCATGGCATCCGTGACCATCGCATCTGTTGTGTCGCCCTTGGTCTCGGTGCGTTCCTTCCCATGGCATCAGTGACCACCTCATTTGTTGTGTCGCCCTTGGTCTCGGTGCGTTCATCCATGGCATCCGTGGCCATGCCTGCATTACCACCTGCAGAGTCCCCTCTTCGGGTCTCACCTACGACTGCCCCCCCTGTCTCTGCTTCAGCCACTTCACCACCCCTGACTTCACCCCCCCCGTCTTCACCGCCTTTATTTCCCCTGGTTTTATCGCCGTCTGTTACCTACCTTCCGACTACTCTACCACCCCTGTCTTCACCACTCCTACCTCCCCTGGTTTTGTCTCCATCCGTTACCC